GGAGGGGAGGGGAGGGGAGGGGACAGGAGGGGAGGAAAGGAAAAATAAAAAGAGTAGGGCTTGAGACTTAAACCCAAAGAATAGGGCTTGAGACTTGAGCCCAGGCCTTGTGGTTCTAAAATACATCTATCCAATAAGGTTATGTGTTTCAAGCACCTTAAGAAGGAGGGGTTTTTTTTCTAAATCAGAGAAGTCACCTCTCCAGAACTAGTGGGAGTAACTCCACTGTGACTCAGGGTAGCTCCTACTTGGCAATAACTTATGGCAAAGCATGTGAGAAGAGAAAGCAAGAGAGAAACTTCTGGCTCTCTAGGGCAATATAAACAAGTAAATTTTTAAAAAACATATATTTTATTATTTTATATATATATATTTTATGCATATGCATGTATTGCCTGCATGTATGTAAGTGCACACATGTCATGCAATGCCCGCAGAGGACAGAAGAGGGCATCAGATCCCCCGGAACTGCAGTTAGACAGTTGTTAGCTGCCATGTGGGTGCTGGGATTTGAACCCAGGTCTTCTGCAATTGCAGCCAGTGTTCTTAACCACTGATCCATCACTCCAGCCCACAAATAGATCTTTACAGAATGCTCTAGAAGGGAGAACAGAGGTACACCATGGTGCTTGGGGATAATGGCATCAAACAAAGAACTGAAGAGGTGGGAATGAGACAGCAAAGTGAGCATCAAGGAGGTAGATGGGAAACACTACAGGGGGTTCAGACCAGGAGTGGAGGCTGGGAAAGAGAGGAAATGGGAAGGTGAGAGCCTGGGGGCTGGCTGCCAATGCCCCCAGGGAAAAATGAGGTTGAGTAAGAGAGACCCCAGGAAAGTACACAGCCAGAGGAATAAAACTGAAGGGGATTGGCTCCATCTCTTCACGTTGCTAATGATGGGAGTTAGTCGCCCCGCCTCACCCCTGGCCCCTGCAATGGCTACAGAGCCAGGCTCCCAGACTCCCACCAATACAGAGCTCTTAGCATCAATGGCTTCCATACTGGCTGCCCAGGAGCTTCATAAGGACCAATGTATAAATAAACAGTAATTGTCAGACAGCAGAGGTTCCAGATCCTGCCTAGTCTTTCCAAAACTATGGTGAGAATTCTCCAGCAACTTCTGGGGGGTGTCATGAGCACTGCACCAGCTTGACAAGTAACCTACCCTCTACACTCTGAGACTCAGGGGAAAAGAAAACTAATTAAACAGCTGAAGCACTGGAGACAACAACTTGCATGAAAGACTAATGGGAAATGTTCTACCCATGGCCAACCTACGCTCCTAGGTCAGCACTTGTTCAACAGAAAAAGATTGTGAGCCTCATATGGAGTTTATTTTTCTAGAAAGTAACTTTCCTAGATATCATTTAATAAGTGTTCTAGATATTTCTATTTGTCTAAACTTTTCTAGATGAATAGGAATTTTTAATTTCCAAATTTTAAATTCTACTTTTGTTGTGTATATGTGTGTATACATGTTTGTGGGGGGGGGTGTGCATGTGCATGCAAATTTATGTACATGTTTAGGTCAGAAGTCAACCTTGGGTGTTGTTTCTCAGGAGATTGTTTACCTTGGTTTTGTTTCGTGACATAGTCTCTCTGCATTGTGCTGTGTTGTTTTGGTTTGTGACATGGTCTCCCTGTAGCCTCAGCTGGCCTGGAACTTGATATGCAGACTGGGCTGGCTGCAATCTCACCAAGATCCACCTGCCTTACCTTGAGTGCTGGGATCAAAGGTGTGCGCCACCATGCCCAGCAGTTTTGTTTTTATTTTTGAGACAGGGCTTGTCACTGGCCTGGAGCTCATTAAGTAGACTAAGCTTGCCTGCCAGCAAGTCCTGGAGATCCACCTATCACTGCCTCCTCAGCACACTGGGATTACAGGTGTGTACCACCCTGCCTAGCTTTTTAAAGGTGAATTCTGGGGCTTGAACTCCGGGCTTCATGCTCGCATGTTGAATACTTTACAAACTGGGCTATCTCCCCAATGTTTAAATTCTAAATTGTAATTTATGATAAAATTAAACATGTGAGGAAGCTGGAGAGGTGGCTCAGTGGCTAAGAGCATTGGCTGCTCCTGCAGAGGGCACAGATTTGGTTCTCAGCACCCATATGGCAGCTAACAACCATCTGTAATTCCATTTCCAGGGGGATCCAATGCCCTCTTCTGGCTTCTTCAGGTATTACAGACACATGGTGCACTTATATACATTCAGTCAAAACACACACAAAAAAATTTTAAACTAACACGTGAAATAAATTTTTTTATGCTTTGAAGAATTATTTTTTAATTTAAAAAATTTAATAGCCACATGATTAGAAGAAGCATTTCATTACAGCTTTAACATATTCAGTAACACACTCCAGAGCAAGGATACATCTCTTTCAAAAGTGGCTGTAAATTTTTAGGTTCACAGTTGAATTAATACAGTTATACAATATTGAACTCAGTATAAACCCTGTAAGA